GTGTATCCTTGCATGTGAGATGGGTTTCCTGGACACAGCACACCAGTGGATTTTTACTTTTTATCCAGTTTGCCAGTCTGTGTTTTGATTGGGACATTTAGCCCATTTACATTTAAGGTTAACATTGTTATGTGTGAATTTGATCCTGCCATTTTGATGCTAGCTGGTTGTTTTGCCCATTACTTGATGCAGTTTCTTCATTGTATTGATGCTTTTTACCATTTGGTACATTTTTGTAGTGGCTGGTACTGATTGTTCCTTTCTATTGTTGCTTTCAGGAGCTCTTGTGAGGCAGGTCTGGTGGTGATGAAATCTCTCAGCAATTGCTTGTTCATAAAGGATTTTATTTTTCCTTCACTTATGAAGCTTAGTTTGGCTGGATATGAAAATCTAGGTTGAAAGTTCTTTCCTTTAAGGATGTTGAATATTGGCCTCCACTCTCTTCTGGCTTATAGTGTTTCTGCAGAGAGATCCACTGTGAAACTGATGGGCTTCACTTTGTGGGTAACCTGACCTTTCTCTCTGGCTGCCCTTAGCATTTTTTCCTTCATTTCAACCCTGGTGAATCTGACAATTATGTGCCTTGGAGTTGCTCTTCTTGAAGAGTATCTTTGTGGTATTTTGTGTATTTCTGGACTTGAATGTTGGACTGCCTTGCTAGATTGTTCTCCTGAAGAGTATTTTCCAGCTTGGATTCATTCTCTCCATCACATTCAGGTACACCTATCAAACATGATTAGGTCTTTTCACAGAATCCCATATTTCTTGGAAGCTTTGTTCATTTCTTTTTACTCTTTTTTCTCTAATCTTGCCTTCTCATTTTATTTCATTGAGCTGATCTTCAATCTCTGATATCCTTTCTGCTTGGTCAATTTGGCTATTGAAACTTGTGTATGCTTTGCAGAGTTCTCATGTTGTGTTTTTCAGCTCCATCAATTCATTTAGATTTCTCTCTAAGCTGTTTATTCTCATTAGCATTTCATCAAACCTTTTTCAAGGTTATTAGTTTCTTTGCATTGGGTTAGAACATGATCTTTTAGCTCAGAGAAGTTTGTTATTACCTACCTTCTGAAGCCGGTTTCTGTCAGTTCATCAGACTCATTCACCATTCAACCTTGTTCCCTTGCTGGTGAGGAGTTGTAATCCCTTGGAGGAAGAGAGGCATTCTGGTTTTGGGCATTTTCATCCTTTTTGTGCTGGTTTCTTCCCATCTTTGTGGACTTATCTGCCTGTGGTCTTTGTGGTTGGTGACTTTCAGATGAGGTCTCTGAGTGGATGTCCTTTTTGTTGCTGATGAAGTTATTTCATTCTGTTTCATAGTTTTCCTTCTAACAGTCAGACCCCCCTGCTGTAGGACTGCTGGAGGTCCACTCCAGACCCTGCTTGTCTGGGGATCATCTGCAGCAGCTGCAGAACAGTAAGGTTTACTGCCCGTTTCTTCTTCTGTTATATTTGTCCCAGATGTCAGCCTGAGCTCTCATTTATGAGGTGTCTCTTTGGTTACATGGGAGTCAGGGAGCTGCTTAAGGAGACAGATGTCAGCCTGAGCTCTCCTTTATGAGGTGTCTCTTTGGTTATGTGGGGGTCAGTGAGCTGCTTAAGGAGACAGTCTGTCTGTCAAGTGCTGAACTGTGAGCTCTGTTGTTCTGTTCAGAGTTGTTGGGCAGGTACGTTTAAGTCTGCTACAGTGGAGCTCATAACTGCCTTTTTTTCCTAGGTGCTCTGTCCCAGGAAGGTAGGGCTTTATTTATAAGTTCTTGTCATCCTGTGCCTTTTTTCAGAGATGCCCTTCCCAGCGAGGAGGTAGTCTATTCACAGTCTGCCAGCAGAGGCATTGCTGAGCTGCCGTGGGCTCTGCCCAGGTGCTCTGTGAACCTCCTTGCACTTTTGTTTATAGGGGTATAGTTAGAACTGCCTCAGTAATGGCGGACTGCCTCGATAATGGCAGATGACACCCTTCCCCCCACAGAGCTGGACTGTCCTTGGTCCAGCTGTGCTTGCTGTGAAACTCTCAATCCAGAGCATTTCATATTTCTGGTCTTCACGAGGGTGGGACCAGCTGAGCCAGATCACCTGACTTCCTGTTTCAGCCCCCTTTTTTTCAGTTGAATGGGTTACTCTGTCTCCCAGGCATTCCAGTAACGAGTTGAAATGGCACCTGGATTTGTGTGAGTTTTTGTGCAGAGACCCACTGCACAGGCTGAAACAGCCATGCTGGAGACTCGTGGTGCTTTTCTGCTTGGGAATCTCCTGGTCTATGGGCAGTAAAAATTCGTTTGGAAATGCGGTGATCACTCACCTTCTATGTTTTCACTGGGAACTGCAATCCAGAGCTGTTCCTATTCAGCCATCTTGGATCTCACCTCTCTCTTAAAGACCTAAAAATTGCTTCAGCAGGACTTCCAAGGGAGCTGACCACTGGGTACTGGGCTCTGCTTTTCACCTGTTCCTCTTCCATCCACTGAGCCCTGACACGTAGCAACAGCACTACCAAGAGCTCAATATGCTTTTAAAAATGTTAGTGAAAAGTCTCAGCTGACCTTACTGGGAGTTAAAGGGATGACATTGTAACCCAGGTACTATGACTTAGGATGACTTTGGACTTCATGGCTGTTTAAGGTTAGCATATACTGCATGGTCAATTCATAATTCATAAGAATCATAATTCATAATTCAAGCTCTGGACAAATATGAATTTTAATTAGGCTAATAGCTGAATTTTGGGTTTCTTCCATTTATAGATCAAAATTCTAGTATTTTATAACTAAATGAAATTTAAGGGGTGGTTTCTGGTCATTGACCAATTAACACCCATCTATTTGTCAGATAAATGTGAGCAATTTGAGCACAAACAAATTTTTCTCACATAAAATATTCCATTACCATTATCTTCTAATATTATATAAAATTGTATTTTTGTTGAGTTATGAGCTAAAGCCACGAGTATTAGATTTTATTTATCAAATTTGACTCTGCCATTGATTATATTTTTTTTCACCTTATCCTACTCCAGCTTATATATTTGGAAAATAATGATGCCAGAAGACAAAATTATCCTGCTAAAATTTGCAAGTTTAGACACGGAAAAGCAAGTTGGATGTGATCATGACTATGTATCTTTACAATCAAGCAATGGAGTGCTTATTAGTAAGTATGTTACATTTGTCTTTATTTATCATTTTAGAGTATCTAAAAGACCAAAAAGAAACTAAAAGATCTAAAATAAAATTTCTGGCATCTGCCTATGGAGTAGCCATTCTTTATTTCTTTACTTTCCTAATAAACTTGCTTTTACTTTACTCAAGAAAATAAAAATAAAATAAAATTTCTGTACCAAGGGCAATCATCTTATCGTACATACTGTTCCTTTCCAGAAGGGTTAAGGGGAGGGTAGGTAAGAGTGGGGACAGTGAACAGCACACTGACCATTCTCTTCAGTGTTTTTCTAAGTTGGACACCAGATACCACATTTATTTCTCAAGTTCAATAACAGTATTGAATGCAATTGATGTCACAGTTGTTATAAAACTTCCTTTTGAGGCAATTTTTTAATCACAAAAGTGGGCACATGTTTATCAAATTTGGTAAATACAGATGAGCAAAGGAAGAAAATATAAATCATTCATAACCCTGTCACCTAAAGATAATCTCTATTAGCACTGTGACATGTATCTTTTTACACATACACTTTGAATTTTACATTGTTTGATATAATTTTTTTCTCATAACACAATTGATCATTTCATGTCATTCAATTTCTTTTATTGAATACCTCTTTAAGCTACATAAACAAAACCGACAGATCTAATTTCATTGAAATACTACATGTTAAACATGATAGAAACTCTCCACAGCTGGTATAGACCTTGATCTCTAGGTCTCCATAAGGCTAATGGTTAGGACAAATAACTCTTCACACGTTTGACAGAAAGCTATAGACAAAGTGCTCTCCCAGGGGTTATAATATTTATTGACTAAATTATTTCATGCTCAGGCCTGCTATTTACACAGTAATTATTCTTTCAACCAGTCATTTGTTAATTAACTATATATGAGCTATTGTACTAGGTACTGGACATTTTTCGAGAAAAAGCACTGTCTGCCCAAATAAGTTCGTAGTTTGAGGTAATCAAAGGTGTAACATAAAGTAGAGAATGCTGTTAGAATAGGGAATGTGCTGCGGTGATTCAGAAAAGGTAGCTCTTATTTCCAGTGGTTATCTAGTAGAGTTTATGGGAGAGCTGAATTTTGAGTTAGGCCCTAAAGAATGAGTAGAATTTGGACATGTGAGATAGAGTGAGAAGGCAAATGGAATAGCAAAGTCACTGAAGCAGGGAATATGGAATGATTCAAGGACCACTAAATACCTTAGTGTGTTTAGACCAGACAGCTTGTGGAAGATGATTAAAAACAAATGTGTAAGTTTCCACCACTTCTTAGTAATGTTATTTTACTTTCCTTGTTTTCTTTTTAGGTAAGGTCTATGGAAATATAGTGCCCTCACCATTGCTGACAGAGACCAATAAGGCCGTGGTTACATTTGTTTCTGACACAGAAGACAGTGGCAATGGCTTTGAGCTTACTTTTACTGCTGTACAGAACTCAGGCGCAGGTGAGTGTTTCAGGTATTTACTTCCTTGCCATTTTCCCTTGATGTGGGGATGAGGAGTAGGAAATGCCTTTGGCCATTCACTTTGAATTTCCCCAATGCTTCCACAGGGTCAGGTTGTGAGAGTGTGGTTATATTGGTAGAAGTGACAATTCATTCTGCCAAGTATCCTGATTTGTATTCCAGTAATGTAAGGTGTCATTGGTTCATTTATGCTCCAGAGAAATACATTGTAAAGGTGGCAACTGAGAAATCACTTTACTTCATAGAGAATTTAGTTACATTAGTTATGCAGAACTTAATTCATCTCAATTGTTAAATTGCCATTATGACTAGAAGCTTTTGCCACTTGCCATTTTTTTTTAACTCTGAAAATTAATTGGGTGTGTGTGGTTTTGAAGACTTTCAGTGGTTTAAAAGTGTACACAACAAAAAGTAAGGCTGCTCATCAGATTCCCATCCTACCACTGCAGGCAAACATTGATAACTTACTACAGTGTCCTTGGGAGGTATTTTGAGCTTTATTAATGTACATGCATGCATGCGTGTATGTGTGTGCATGTACATATGCTGCTTGGCAAAGTCTTGTTCACTGAAAAATATCTTGAAGAGCATTCCAGATGAGCCCACAGAGATCTTTTTAATAACTGCATAAAATATTGTATGATATGTCAGAATATGTTAAACTAGCTCCCTATTAACAGATGTTTACTAAGTTCCTAGTCTTTGCTCATACCAGCCATGGTGTCATGAATATCTGCCACTGTTGCCATGAATATCTGCCAGCATCTTTGGACACATGCAGTTATGTATAATTTCCAGAAGTAGACTTGCTTGCTCAAAGGGTTTGGTCATTTAAACCTGGTAGTCATTGCCAAATTGCCCTTCAAAGAGGCTGCATTATTTACATTTCTATGTGAAGGCATATAAGAGTGTGACAAGGAGCCTTTAAATACACAGAGGAAAATCCTTTAAGCTTCTCTCTTCTCCTCTTTGAACGTTTCTCTCCTTATGCTTCATTTGTACAGTTGGTATTTGAGAACTTTACTGTTGAATTTAGTCAAAACTGTATTTATGATGCTGTTGTGATTTCTGCTGATTCTGAAGAAGAGCACAGGTTAGGTAGGTAGCAGTCATCCTTTAAATATGAAAGTGTTCAACTAATCAGAGTAGTTGCAACATCAGCTGGCTTCCTTGGGTACCATAAGGTAGAGTGGGAAAGTGAATTTCTTGCTCTAGAAACTCAGAATGCCATACTAAGCTTTAAAACTCATAAGCCGGCAACTAATTCACCAGTAAAGTTTTTAATGGAAATGTGCAAAATGTAAAGATCATTTCAGACTATATGTAAGGTGAAAAGGCAATCCCAAGAGAAAGGATAAAATGATAACAGTGAGTAAATTTTTGGAAGTTATTTAAGATAAATTTTAGAGCTTCCTTCTTTCTGTATTAATTTCTTCTGTTGCTGATATTTTGGTATTTGTGTCCGAGAAAAGTAACCAAAAGCTGTAATTTCTATGTGGGTCTGACAATTAATTTTAAGACATTTAAAACTTCAAATATACTTTTAGTTGTGACCTGACAATTTACTGAGTATGAAGAATTAACATCCAGCACTGTAATCACTTTTTTAGAATCTAGTATTTGTCCTCCAGTTAGGTGTGTGTCTGGGTAAGAAGCCAGGTTTATAGATGGACTTGTAATATTTATTTAGACATTAAGGGCAGGCTAGTGAGAGCACAATGCCGTGATTCTGCAGAACGGCAAATGTATAGTGTGAGGTTTCCATGAAAGTGACTTCAAGTGTTACCTCTCTAATCAAGTATGCTTATGACCTGTTTGGAAAAAGGAATACACAAACACGGGTGTTTTCTTTTTTTAACCCGCCTTTTATTGTCTGAAAAGTAATAACATGTTGAGTTTCTGTGCATACTGGAAATCAAATGTCCTTATTTATAGAGCTTTTTCGGGGCAGTTAAAATTACAGTGCATTATTATTGTGAAACTAACATTTAATTCTCACGTGAATGTAAGGGTGTGCATACAAGTAAAAGTTGGAGAAAACTAAAGTAGTTGATTAGAAAATTAATTGGGTGATATTTTATTCTGTGTTCTGACTTTTTAACATTATAACTATAAATCAAACTTCCCTAAAACTTTTCAGCTAACCTTTGTGGAATCTTGACCATCACTTCAATATTCAGTTCTAGTAACATGATGGTGACACATTTTATTTTATTTTTCCCATTTATTTATTTTATTGCATTTTAGGTTTTGGGGTACATGTGAAGAACATGCAAAATTGTTGCATAGGAACACACGTGGCAGTGTGATTTG